TGGTATGGGGTTAAACTCCATCCTGGTAAAGGCTATTGCTTGCTTAATGCACGTTGGCAAAGGTATTTACTTACACACTTACTAGAGTGCTCTAGTCTCCTCTGTGGATACTAAAATGACCACACCCCTATCAATTATACACTCAGAAGGGGCAGGGACTATGAAGACAACTGGCTTTTTAAAGAACGCTCCCCCTCCTAGTCTTTGATCTGGTACCAGGCTACCCCTGCTGCTTTCTGCCAAAGCTCTTGGACCGATCATCAGAGTTTAAGGATCCGTTGTCCTCCGAATCCACCGGTTCAGCTAGAAGCCAGGAATTTAATCTGCAACCTCCCACGTGCAAAACAGCTACATTACCACTGCTTTACATCTTCTGCCAGAGCCGTGAGGCGAGAATAAATACATCGCTTGCCCAATCCTGCCAAACGGCTGCATCTACTGGGTCGTGCGGCCATGAAAACCTTGCCGCTAAACGGGACGCAAGGTCGACTTAGCTTCCACGTTTCCTGGCTGAAGGATTCGTAGCTCCGCCGATACCTGGACTGGTGCTCCATTCCTGCCCATCTCTATCCGCTTCTTGCAAGTTTTGCAGCTCCGCTCCGGCGCCGCCTTCTCTGTCGCGCAGCTCGGAATTCCCCACAGTGCTAAACGTTCGTAATCCTACCAGGGACGCCCACGAGGGGAAGGTGGAAGCTGCTGCGGCCTCTCGGGTCATGGCGTCAATCCTTCCTTGAGCACCTTTGCAGCTTCCAGCCGCTGTAACGCTTCCCCGAGACTTCAGAGCCTGCAACACCCGCAGACAGAGGCTTCCTCGCCACATGGCGCCCCGCGACTCCCCAGGAAAACTCCCGAGGGGCGACAGAACGCGAGACCACCCACCGTTCCAAAACGGAATCCACTTAGGGAACTCCCTCTCCTCACTGATTGGAGGGTGTACATTCAAGTGCTTTTAGGGATTGGCTGCGTGTCTCACGTGACAGGCAGGACGGCGGGCGCAGGCGCCATTTGGTAAGCGACGCTGGAGTGGGAAGGGCTTGGGAGTGTTTTTACTAAATCTAGGGCTACGGTACCTGGGCTGCACAAGCAGCCGGTCAGTCTCGAGACTGGAGCGGACTTAGAATGTGCTACATCCTTTTGCTGCCATCTATTGGTCGTCTTTATATTTGCAGCCCAAATAGGGTAGTCCTCATTTTATTTCTACGCGTTTGTTGCTGGAAGCCAGCTTTGTTGTTTTCTGCTCTGATGATTTTTGATCATTTGAGCGTCACATCTTTCAGAGAGGAAGGCGAGACTGCAGTTTAAGATGGAGGATTGGATAGGTGCGTGCATGCATGCTCCTGGCTCAGCTGCTTCCCAGTGTTAGACAACTCTAGTGTTTTTGCATTACTCTTTTGGAATTCTGTAAGATAGGAGATACCTTCTCATTTCCAGTGCTGATCTCCGATAGTCTATACAAATAAGGATTGTTATGCACACCAAGATCTTGGCACTTGTGTACCATTTATCCAGGCTTAGTTTCCTTTTTGAAGATCACTGATTTGCAAGAGTTTTGTTTATTTACAAATGTACAAGATGAGTGTAGCAAGAGTCACACACCTTGTGCATTCAAATAATCAATTTATTCTCCTCCAAATCAGAACCTCTAGGACAATGGTGGGCACTGGCTGACTTATTTGGCCCACTTACAAACACACATGTGAAGAAGTGGAGATGCAGAGTAGATTAACAGTTGGGAGACTTAATACGTGTATATCATTCTCCACATGTAATTCATGTCTGCCAAAGGAAGAACTCTCTATTGCTTACAAAAGGTCCACTTAGGATTCAAGGTCATATGTACCCCATTCTGAATATAGCTCAAAATCAGAATAAAATATATCCTTCTGCCTGAGTCAAAATTTGGACACTAAAGCCCTCTACTTATTGAAACATCCACATCATCTCCAGAAGCAGACAGATGAGCAATATGAGTTTTTTTTTCATGCCAAACAAATAATTTATCACATTTTCTAATACTTTTAAAATCAGCCCTAGATAACAAGTGTTTTTTGTGCTAGGATTCACTTGGATAAAAGTGCTTCCCTTTGAGCACTTTGCCATGAGTCCAGGAAAATTATGAAGGAAACTGGAAAATCCAGGAAACAAAAATAAAACAGTTCCTGTACTTAACTAAACCATAAAGTGAATTGTTTGGTTATGGTTTAATGAGATGTGTGAACCCAGTCACTGTGCTTTGCAAATGGCTTAACCTGATGTTTGAGCCAGATCATAAAGTAGTGCAGGACAACGCCATGCTAAGATGCAATGGTATTCTGCTGGGGAAAGGGTTGGGGGTCTTACATGGCCACAGGCAGGTAGATAGATAGTGTGGAAGAATTTAAGCAATTTGAATATTAATAAATGTTTTAGCCTGGAGCTCCTGAGCACAGTAAGGGTTCAACCTGTAGCAGCAAACATTTAGCAAGCAAGTAGGCTTTGTAACAATCATGTTTTTACGCATCTGTAGTTCCTTGTTGCTTGATAATAAGTACACCCTATTTTCTTTGTTTTTCGGATCTTGTCCATGGAGTGTTACTGAACTTGTTCATGTGTGTTTGACCTGGCTTTGCAAACCCATAATACATTTTGGAGACTGAAGTACTTTGTTGTCCTGCTTTAGTAGGACATGAACCTCGTCTTTTTTTTTTTTTTAGATTTTTTATCCCACCTTTGTTATTTTTTATAAATAACTCAAGGCAGCAAACATACCAATACTCCTTCCTCCTCCTATTTCCTATTTATCTTGTCCCTGTGGGGTCAAGTGAGAAGGGAGAGAAAATGTGTAAATCGAAATTAGGATGAAAATAAATTCACAAGTTCCATTTTAACGGCTTTTCTCCAACAATTGTGAGATGGCGTCTGAGCCCACCTGATCTTTCAAAACAGTTTTAAAAAGATGCATGTTTAGGAAGTAGAAGCAAGGCTATTTTGGTAGACATTGCCATCTTCTCCTCCTCATAGAACAGAGGAAATTCTCTTCTAATGCACTTCAACTAGAGTGAATTATATAAGCAAAGAAATTAGAACAAAAAGTTATGCATCTTTAAATTGTTCTCCAACCTGTGATTAAACTATTAGCTAAACATTTGAAGCCACTGCAGTAAGTGATATCCAAAGTGTCCAGCTAATAACTTTCAGATTTTAAAACTAGTTACTTTGAAACTGAGTGAGTACAAGATAAAGGAACTCTGGACTGAAGCGTAAGCCTAGCATGTTTGCACAGAAGTAAATTTCCTCTAAATTCAGCAGAAGTCAGTGAAAGCTTAAATTCCTTAGTAAAAAATGCTCAACTAGACAGACATTTATTGGGGGTAAACAATTTTCTTATTGATTGATGCCTTTGAGTCAGTATTGACTCCTGGTGACTGCCTAGACAAATCTCTGCAATAATCTAAGATACTGAATACAATACCCAATATAAATGGTTTATTAACTGATACATTATAGCATATCCAAGATAAGCAAGTAAAATACGTTTCTTTCTGCATGATGCTATTTTATACTTCCAAGTGAATTGAACAATAGCTTTTATTCTGTATGTAATGCACGTATACCATCTCCCCTCCCTTTTTAACAGCATCCCTACATTGAATTACAGGTCAGTGTAAAGCTTGAGATATATGCAACTGTAAAATGTCAGCCTGGAGAATTAGACGATTCCCCCCTTGCTTTTCAGCAGAGGGTCTCTCTCATTGCCTCCCGGGAAGAAAACAGCCTTGACGTTATTGAAGTAAACACTCAGTCCTTCACCAGATTTCTCTTGACCTATTTTTCTTTCAATGGGTTTATATTCTTTGTATCTCCTGAAAAGAATGTGAAAATCAAATTATTAAAATGCTTTCCTGGTATATGAACAAAACCCAACAATTCTTTAGTTGTATTGTTCTTCTCCTCGGTAAATTGCCCATTTATATTTTTGAAAATAATCAGCAGGAAAAAGCTATTAGTACAGCCCTAGATAAAAGTTGCTGAGAATATATATTGGTGTGAGGGGAGTGAGAGAGAGCAGATATATAAACCTATTTAATGCTTATAGAAATCTACTGCATCACTAATGGAATAAACCAGCCAGTAAATGTTTTCAGAGGTTCTGCCGTAAAGAAAGAAATGTTATGCCATCGCCAGATGTATCCTTGTTGTGAATCCTTTTAAAAAGCAGGGAAAATGGGATACTGTAGCTACAGTATCAAACTTATGGCCAGAATCCTGGTTCAAATTGCCACTCACGTTCGACTCTGAGGGATCTCTTTGCTGCTGGATTATTATTGTCCCCTCCTCACTAGCACTCCAAGTACAGTTGCCTCAACCCCTCACAGACAAGAAGATAGACAAACTTTGAAATTATTCCCAGCAATCATGATTGTATTACACACTTTATTCAGTAATATTTGGAAGCTCCTATCAACCAAAAGAATAGTTTAAAAAGCAGTATGGGGGGAAATGGAACATGAAAGGAAAATAACATCAGGAAGGTGGCTTGGTGTGTCTTGGATCTCATGAGTGGTAAAGACAGAGAGATAAAGCTAATGGGTTTTTGGTTTTTACCTACGGGTAAACAGAATCTACCTTCTGTTACCAACACTTGCATCTGTATTATTTGGGTTTGAAAGTTTTACGAATCATTAAATCAGTGGTGATTCTGTTTTAATGACTATGCCAAGCAACTTACTTGTAAAGGAAGAAGGTCAAAAAAACAGCAAACACCACCAAGAAACCACAAGTAACCAGAATTCCTTCTGCTGTCCTTGAAAAGGATGCTTCAGCTTAAAGAATAAGTTAAAGAAAACAGAATAAAGGGAATTTAATCAGTGATTAATATACTCTTATAATTCTCTAGATGTTCACAGTCTACATACTTGACATTCCCACTTCATTGGACTCACCATACCTGTCTTTTAAAGGACACACCCAAAATGTATATTTCTATAGACAGATATAAAATGAGGATTAATTATTTTTGTTCTTAATATTTTTTAAAATTATTTTTGTTTTTTGTTCTGGTTATTTTGTTGTTTTGTAACTTTGTGTGTCACTCAGAGTCACATCTGTGAGATGGATGGCTATATAAATTTACCAAATAAATAAATAATATAAATATAATATAAAATACAAGGAAAAATCAATAGTTCACCAACATTCGCCACTTATTTCAGCTGCATTACTTCTGTTTATTGAGATCTTGTTTTCTATTCTTGGCTGAGCCTGAAAGGTAACCAAAAAGTTCTTCCCACAACACTGCTTCTCACGCAAGACATAATGGTTGAGTCTCTTTTTTCATACATTACCAAATGCAGACAGTATTTTTCAGAAAGTGTAGCATTAGTAGAATCATTATTCATATTTGGGGTGATAATAGGAATTAGAAGGACCAAGAACTTCAGATGAAAAGGTCTGGTGCACACATTTATCATAAGTAGCACTTTTCTCTCTCAGGTACACTCTACTTGTGTATGAGTGTAATGTTAGAATGTTTGTGAAAAGATTCTGCCTTCTTACATGCATCGGTCAATCTGTCAAGTACGCATCATCCCCTAGATTTTAAAATGTAACATTTCTTGTGAAATAATCATACCAGCTACTAATAAAAAGGTCAGGATTTACCTCCATTGATGGAGATCAGAGTACTTGTGAGTGCTAGACTTGTTGCATCAGCCAGTGTGATGTTGACACAATAGGTTCCAGATTCATTGAAGGCTCTTCTTATGGTCAGGAAACACACATCAGCAACATCAACAGGGTGACATGACTCACTCTGTAAAATCGTACATGTGGGATCAGCAATTAATGTGCAGGCGTCTGTAGGTAGACTAGGCAGGGGGAAGAGACAGAAGGAGATGGGATAGCTAATCAGTTTTGGTTTTATAGAACCAGTGGACTGATTGATAACATTTTTGTACTGATTTTTCATACATTGCCCAAAATGGTTCAAGTCAATTTATTATTGTTTTTAAAAATAGTATATATGTATTTAAAACAATATGCCATCTTAGTTAAACACAGTAAAGCTAACCAAACTAGTGTAAGACTAGAGGAGTCAAATGTTGCAGTTACACTACGGATATTATTATTCACAGGGAAAGAGGGAGGGGATCTCTTTTAAGCCCTCTAAAAATATTTATGCTCCAATGAGTCTTTCTCTCTATAAATCCTAGTATGCTGTTTATTGAATATTTTACATTGAAGCCAGCTCAACTGCAAAACAGAATACACAGGGCTTTTCCATGTGGCAGCCTTTAGAAACTTGTCTGTATCTTGTAAACTGAATCTTGCAAACTGGCCAGAAATAAATCCAGTTTGAGAAAACCTCTCCTGGATTTCAGCCCCCTTCCACTTTGGCCTTAACATGGCCCATGAATTGTGGTTCCCTCATTTCCTTTCTCCTCCCACACGTTTTCAGGAAGATTTCCTGTTCTTTCTGTAACTTGAGCTAGAAAGGAAATTTGGCAGAACTCTTGTCAAGCTCACCCAGAAGAAAGAAGGAAGGGAGGGAAGGAAAGGAGGAAGGGAGGGAAAGCATTTCACTCCTCTACTGTTGTGTTAAACACAACACACACACACACACACACACATATAAATTTTACAAATCTTTCTGTCACTTGAGCTAGAAGGGAAATTCTTGTCAATTTCACTTAGTTAAAAGAAACAGCAAAGAATGGCCAACATTTCACCATTCTTCTGCTCGGGGCTTTAGGCTAAGGTCAAGCAGGCATTGGTATTAATCAGGTCCAACCCAGCTCAATTTTTTTCAAGGTCAGACATGGTCAGCTAGTTGCTGCACCTGCTGAAGACCAGAAGAAAAATCAGGTGCCAAGGTACATGATTTAGCTACACAAATGGTATGATTCAGCTTTCTCCAGCCTAGTGTCAGCCCTTTGAGGTAGGCCAGGGCAGGAAGCAGACACTTCAGGTTTACAAGAATGCTACTTTATTGTTCTAAGGTATAATAGAATATTGAAAGCCTGACAGAGTTTGTCCCCTCTTATACCAAAGAGAATCAAGGTGGGGTTATTTTGAATTTCTTTCTCATGCTTTCTCCTTTCCCAGGACTAAGTTGTGGTTTCATCTCCCTTAACTGCTCTTGCATAACTTTGTCAAGGTTATCTCTACATTCCTCTACATCTAGCATCATCCATGCATGTGGGACTGCATCTCCCATAATTCTCAGCCAATTAATTTCTCTGGAGTGTAGCAATACACCAACATGATGGACTAGAGTACTTATAGAGGTAAACAATTCAGTTATACTCATGTTCCTTGGTCTTCTGCATGGGGTTTTTTCAAGTTAGTATTCCAGGACATATAGGTTTTTTGAAGAAAAGCAAGGAATGTATGGAAAAGCATACCTCCCTTGACAGGTTACTACGAAATCAACCACTGAGTTTCCAACTTGAGTAGCTGTCATCTGGACACTTGTCATTTGGATAATGTTTACCTCAAGGATCCCCTCTGTCAAAAGAAAGCCATTGACAACATACCAGGAGTTTTTAAATGCAAAATTTGACAGAAAGGAAAGGAAGTATTACTTTTAGATCCTAACTGCAAGAGAATTACAGGTAGTCCTCAAGTTATGACTGCAATTGGGACCAGAATTGCTGTCACTAAGCAATGTGGTTGTAAGGCACAACCACATTGCTTAGTGACAGTCCAGGCAGTCCTGGTTATCATAGTAACCCAAAATGTGTGGGTCATTAAGTGGGAAGTGGAAGGAGTCCCAGGTAAGAAGTGCGGAGATGCCACAGGGGAAGGCCCGGCACAGGCCACATGGGAATCAGGGGAGGGAGTGCTTGGCACGGTGCAAGCTCAGAAGGGCTGTGGAATGAGGGTGTGGGGTGCATGCAAGCATAGGGAGGCCAAGGAAGAGGGCATGGGGTATGTGTGTGTGATTGCAAGGAGACCATGGAAAGAGGGTATGGGGTGCATGTGTGTGTGTGCAAGCGTAGGGAGGCTGAGGAAAGTGGGCACAGGGTGTGTGCAAGCAAAGAGAGGCCCAGGGAGGGGGGAGACTTACTCCATCAACTTGCGACCTTCCTTGCCGGCTTCCCATTAACTTTCTTGGGGGAAGCCGGCAGGGAAGTTTGCAAACAGCAGTCATGTCTCTCTTCCATACAACCATACAATCACATACTAAGTTACAAAGCAGGAATTTTAAAAAGAGTTCATTATGGTCAGTTCCGATACTGAAACTAAATCTTTGGATTGAGGTTCTTTAATACTAGGTATATGTGGCTGATCTCAGGTTCTTGTAAAAAATGAGAATTTTGTCTACTACTACTCCTAAGGATATGCACATCAATATGTTCAGAGTGTTACCATAAGATTAGGACTCAACTTTCTTTTACATTAAATATAAATAATTCTTTGAATTCAGCGGGATAGCCATCACATTTTCAGAATGTGTCCTTAATTTTAACTTACTGCATCAACCCAGAAATTGTGCTCTTCCTGAACAAGTGACAAAACTGAACAAGGTAACAACAGTATGCTGGGATTTTGGTTTAAAATAATGTGTATGGTGACACCCAGACAAAGTGACAAGAACTTTCCCAGCCAAATACAAAAGTTTACTGATGAGCTATTCAGTTAAATAGTTTACAAAAGCTAATTGGTAGAGTTGGATCCAAAAATTCCTTTCTGTGAATGGAAGGAACTCTAGCCAACCAAAGAAATCCCACTGTAAAAAGAAGTCTCCTTTTGTTCATGGAAGGAAACCTTTAGCCGTAACACTATTAGTAAAATGGTTTTCAAAACAAACAAAATAAAACAATATTGTTTTAAGTCTTCGTTCCAAAATGGTACAAAGCTTTCAGATATTCTGCCTTTTGCATACAGACATGTTCTACCAGAGCAGCAGCACGAAAGCCATTTTAATTATATAATAAAAATGGAAAAACTTCCCACAGTATCCATCAAAACAATATTCTTTCTTTACTGGTGTAGATGCATACCTACAATGGTAAGTGAGGCTGTGTAAGTTCCATATCGAGTGATATTGCATCGTTCAACAGGGGGCTGTCCTGTAAGCAACTCAGTTAAACTAGGAGAGGTGGGAGTTGCATTCGAAGGGAACTGGGTAACTACTGTTAAAAGAAAAAAGGAAAACAGAAAAGAGTTGTGGGAAGACTTTTTGGATTTCTGCATCTTAGAGCTAGGAGAATATTTGGACCCTATCTTTATACCAAGATAAAAAAGTGTACTACAATTCACTGACTCTCATATTTTCATATACAGACCTACATCCACATGTACCATATACCCATTCTCAGGAATTAGAACTAAGTTATCTTCTGACTATGGGGAAAATTATTCAGTTTATTAACAAACTGTTTCCTTTGGAATATAAATTCCTATTGTTGGCTCTTGCCTTTTATATTACTTGGTTTTGGTATTATGTACCTGTTCTTTTGGAGATTTACTCACCGGAAGTTTAATACAAGCAAGGGATGAGGAAAGCTTCTTATTTATTTATTTATTTATTTATTTATTTATTTAAAGATCTTATATGGCACCTATCTCAGTGATTCTAGGCAGCTCACAGCAACCAATAAGAACAACATGAAAATGTACCATACCCTTCCCACCAAGGTGCCAGAACTCTTCCAACTGTTAATCCCACAACCCAGCTCCATCTTAGCCCAGTGCTTGGGAGAAGAGCCAGGTCTTCAAGGCCTTCTTGAAAGCTAAAAGGGTAGAGGGCCCCCAAATCTCAGTGGGAGGCTGTTCCAAAGGGCTGGTGTGGCTATGAAAAAGCCATACCTCCAAGATCTCATTAGATGACATCTGCAGGAAGGGACCTGGAGTGCACCTACCCTATCCAACCTAGTAAGATGGGATGATACCCTCAGGGAGAGGTGGTCCCACATATAACCTTATTGTCATTCCATTCCATCTAACTTGCATTTGAGGATCAAGCTAAGATTGGCATTTATTTTTGATCATACTTTCTTCCTGTTCAGCAATGGCCAGAAGAGCAATGGTTTTTTCCAGTAAACAGAGAGTAACAATCCGATCATCACAAGCCTAACTATAACATTACCTCTTATAGCAAAGTCCAGATGAAATAAGTGGCTTTTCTTATTCTGAGTACCAGTTTGCAGCACAGAATTATGAAGAAAGCATAAGATGTTAAGAAATGGACAATCAACAAATTATTCATTTTTGCAAATTTGGAGCAATTGCTTATTGAGAGGTAGAGGAAAGGAGATGAATTAAGTCCCATAAAAAGCAACTAGTGGCTGGATTCATATATTAGCCATCGAATAAACCCCAATGTACTAGATTTGCACTATATGATGTCACAAATCATGTTTCTGATGAGCTCCATGATGGCTGAGTTTATGTAACACACTATGCCAAAACAAAACCATGTACATTGGCTTAGTGTGATTTGTGAACCAGACCAATGTGTCTGCATGAGCAAGTATGTATGGTGGATATTAGTTATCATAGACACTTACCTGGAAATGTAGATAAAGGAGAAGCTGTCACTGGCCCACAAGGTGCAGGTATAATAGCTTGAACAGACAAGTTAGCACTGAAATTTCCCAGAAGTGTGTATGTATGTGTTGAATCAGAATTGTTAGAAACAAATGAACCACTGCCATCCCCAAAATTCCAATGGTAGGAAATAGCAGAATGATTCAGGTAGTGGCTGGGATCATGAATCTGAACATCAAACATAATGGGGATGTCCTTGATGAAGATAAAGTCTGAAACATTGCGATTGTTCTTCTGGGATATTTTCACAGAGAAGGGGATTTGATCTGCATATTAAAAGTATCAAAAAAGATGAAATTGTAGTTTAACACACAATAGATAACACTAGAATCATAGTTTTTAACAGAAAAGCACTGATGTGTCCAAGGAATGTTGTCACATTTGCCTGCCAAATGTGTTGCATAAACCTTTCATCAAAACTTTCCCACCCTTGCACACATACATAAGCACATATAGGTATATTTCAGTCTTAAAATCTTCCTGAAAAAAGGCAGGAAGGAAGATTGTTTAGAAGAACCAATGTTCTCTGGATGTGTAAACTTCCATTCCCAGAATTCCACACTTAGTATAGATACTGTTGAGAATTCTGGAACCTGAAATCAATACATCACTAATGTAAATCGTCCACATATGATGAATTACAACTTAACCTTGTGTACTCACCTGTTACAACATAAATAACATTTGTTGTGGTTACTGGTACATATGACCGATAACCCCTTCTATAAACTACCAACTCCATTATTTGTTTACCAACAGTGATATTTGTTGTATTGATCGACACCATAACTGATGAGCCTCCTTTCTTTTGATAATACTGGCCTGCAAAACAGTAAAAGGTAAAAAAGATGGCATTACTATTGGTTCAATTACTCTGTATTTTTTGGAAAGACTACACAGTTGCTCTTTTCCAAAGGAGGAAACATCTCACTCTATCAAAAGGGCAAAATAAATAAATATAATGCTTCCAAGTGTATTGCATATTTATCAGTCTTTCTTATAAACAGTCCAGAAGCGTGCACATGATTCTACCATTTTATGTCTAGTGCCATAATTGGGTCCCTTTTCCATGTCCCATCATTTATACACTTGCACAAACCACTTGACAGCTCACAGCAGTAGTAAATTTTTCAACTAAACTGGGCTAGCTTTGATTTGCAATAACTCTTTACTACATTGGTATACTGTTATACTTATATCCATATACTGCTTATATGGATAGTGCCGTTATATGGTTTCACCAACTAGATGTCATTGTTTTTTTATCCCCAGTCATGTCTGGGGATACCAAATGTGGAGTTGCTGGTCTATTCTATTCTCACTGGAAGGAGACAAGAAGTTGTTGTCTAACTGCCTGACTGATGCATTTTTTAAGCTTTCTCTAAAATCAACAAGAGTTAAGCAACAGAAAATAAAAGGGAAGAGCCATAAATTAATGGTGAGCACATACTTCATTCAACCCAGAGTTCTCACTCAAGGCACAAATGACCAGGGTCAAATTATCCTACTTCGGACATAGTATGTGAAGACCCAGCTCTCTGGAAGAGGCTCTAATGCTGGGAAAGGTGAAGGAAAGAGGAGAAGAAGACGACCAGCAGCAAGGTGGATGGACTCAGTTACAGAGGTGATGAGTGCATCATTGGGAGACATGGCAGAACAAGTTACAGATAGATCAACTTGGAGAAAATCTATCTATATGGTCACTAGAAGTAAAAAATGACTTGATGGCACATAATCAATCAACATACTTCAGGTGCAGAAGGTTCCACATTTAATTGCTAATGAAATGGATTGCAAATAATAAGTATGGGAAATGTTTCTTCCTGAAGCCAAAATAGGTACAAGAGTTAGGCAACCTGGTGCCTCCCTTCAACCCCAGCCAGCATATTCCAGTGTTCAGGGATGATAAGAACAAATCCAAAACTTCTAGAGATCTGATTTCCCTGTGACACATTTGTCACTCCCAAGCTATGGAGTCTCATTTGCCTCCCATTCTCTCCACTGTTAGAAGAGGCAGGTAAGAAACATCTCTTCAGCCAGCTTTGAAATATTAAAAAAATTAGATGCCTATACATACATACATACATACATACATACATACATACATACACACACACACATATGTATATATTAAAGGCTTGTCCTTCCTTCCTTCCTTCCTTCCTTCCTTCCTTCCTTCCTTCCTTCCTTCCTTCCTTCCTTCCTTCCTTC